ACCCTTTGCAGGGACAGGACTGGGCAGGCTGGGGCCGGATTCTACCCATGGGGCCGAGAGAGCCCGGGGGGGAACATCTCCAGGTAGTGCTGAAAGGTGGGAGGGAGGGGGCGTCAGTCCCACCCCTGGTGTCACCAGTGTCTCATGCCCACCCCACCCCCGACCAATCCCCACAACTGAGCACAAGGCTCCCTCCCCCGTGGCTCTGCATTGCAAAGGGCCTGGACTCCAGAGCAGGGCAGATCTTGGGAGGCAGGAGGAGGGGCCTTCGATGGGGAAGGACGGATGAGAGGCCTGAGGCAGTGTGATGGGGTGTGTGGGCCCCACACTGGGCCAGGAGAGCTTAATGCCCTGTGGACGGAGGAAGTCCCGCCTCCCAACTGCACTGGGCATGCTCCAGGGGTGGGAGCAGTATAAAAGGGAGCAGCTCAGCTTAGTCTGGGCTGGATGCCAAGGAGGAAGGACTTGCTACAGGAGCCCCAGAGGTAACCCAGCCAGAGACCCTGATGCTGAGAGCCAGAGATGTGGGAGGCGGCACTGAGCCCCCAGAGCCGGTGGAACCTCCGGGGAGGCTGGTGCTGTGGAATCAGAGGACCCGGAAGCCATGTGGGTCACCCCAAAGCCAGATCGGGTAGGGAGCGACCCGGGGAAGCGGCGCCGGAGGAAGTCCCGCCTCCCAACTGCACCCCTTACCTTCTTCACCAGGATGGTGAGGCCCTGGTACTTGAAGGGCTTGGAGAATTCGATGTACTGCGCCCGCTCATTGTTGATGGTGAGGGGCGCCACGATCATGTCTGCCTGGCCGCTCAGGAGCTCCCCCATCATCCCGTTCCACTCCTTCTTGTTGCTGTTGTTGACCTTTTCTCAACTCAGGGCAGAGGGCACATCGAAACTCACCCGCTCCTGGGTGCCAAATTTACCATCGGCCACCAGGTGAACCTCGTAGGTGAAATTCATCACCCCGGCCAGGCGGATGAGGAGGTCAATGCAGAAGCCATAGCAGCACAGCGACACAGTGGGGCGGCCTGCAGTGGGAAGAGGGGGCAGGGAGGAGGGATGGTGACTCAACTCAGGGCAGAGGGCACATCGAAACTCACCCGCTCCTGGGTGCCAAATTTACCATCGGCCACCAGGTGAACCTCGTAGGTGAAATTCATCACCCCGGCCAGGCGGATGAGGAGGTCAATGCAGAAGCCATAGCAGCACAGCGACACAGTGGGGCGGCCTGCAGTGGGAAGAGGGGGCAGGGAGGAGGGATGGTGATGTAGCACCATAAAGAACACGGAGATTCAGCGCCTCGGTGCCTGAGCCTGCAGAGCCCGTGCGAAGGACGGGAGGAGGCCTGTGGTATGCAGCAGAGTGCTGCAGGCATGTGAGCTAACCCACAAGTTCAGTGACTGCAGACGGAAAGCGGCCGCTCTGTGCCACGTCACTGCTTTTGTGTGGGGATTGTTGCAGGAGCGCTGGTGTTTCACGGGGTGAAGTCACAGCACTGAGCTCGCGCTGCAGCCCCGTGCTTAGAGACAAGAAACACCCAGGCTTGATTTTTTGCATGAACTATGTGTGCAGGGAATGGACAAGATTCACACCCTCTAGGGTCTATCCAGAAAATTTTTCCATGCCACAGGAATGCATCCACCACTGGGGTGGAATGCAGTGGTTGTGGAACAGCTCACAGCAACACTTTTCCACACCGTTGGGTAGGAAACGAAGGAGAATATCGAGTTCAGCAGATGCTGCCGGGGGACTCGCCTCCCACCGTGGAGTTTACTGTCAAGGCTGTTTGACCATAGTATGGGGGAAGAGACAAAAGTAAGGGGAGAAGAGAGGAAGGGGCCAGTGAGTGGGGGAAAGAAAGAGGCTTGGGAGGAGGCGGAGAGAGGGAGAACGGAGAAGAGGAGAGAAATGCAGAGAGAGGAGAGAGCTATGAGGGGGCTACCAGGTTCTAAGCAGCGACCTCTGAGATTCCCAGCACCCACAGGGAGTGAAGAAGACGCGAAGGCTGGAGAAGGGTTGAAAGGGGGCCTGGTGCTCACATATTTGCCAGGGAGCTGCTCCCTGAACTAGGCTCCCTCCGTTTTTTGGATGAGTTGCGGCTGCGTTTTCATTCCCCAGACGCACCGTTACCTGGAATGGTCTCGTTGGGCCCGGTGCAAAAGACTTTCTTCACAGGGTCTCCGTTGATGGTAATTTCTTCCTTACACGTCCCGTCGGCTTGGGTCGGCTTCACGTACACGAAGGGCTCCTGGTGGATTGTCACAATCTGGGGAGGAAGCGGAAAGGACCGTTTGCCTCAGTCTCGGCCTCTGCCGAGGGCCTTCCCATTCCCTGCGGGGGAGGAGGGATACACGCCGGCTCCAGTCAAACACAAACTGCCTCGACTGGCCGGAGTCTCTCCTTTGTGGCAAGGATCCCGCCGTGCCCATCACCAGTGAACAGGCCCTACCGAATTCACAGCCGCGAAAGCCACAGCACGGACTGTGACATCTGGTCTCCACCGTGAAACCTGGTGGCAGAGCTGGGTGCCAGAGAACAATGGCTGCTGGATGGGCACCCAGCTCAGAAGGCAGCACAGCCGCCAGCAGCAGCACAGAAGTGAGCGTGGCCTGGTACGGGGAGGCATCGCTTTTTGGAGGGGGGGGCTGCCTTCCAGGGGGGTTGTGTGAGCAACTGCCTGGTGAACTGACTGCCTGGTGAACTGGGCTCAGAGGGGGCTGCACTCGCTGCCCTCCACAGCCAGCCCAAGGCCCCTTTAGCCTGCGAGGGCCGTGGAGGAGCAGGGCTGGGGGCATCCAGCCAGGATCCAGAGTGACTAGCAAAGGAGCTTATCTAGGGCCACTCAACCATCCAGTGGGAGAGCCAGAAGGAGCAGCCCGGTCTCCTGCCGCCTTGGTCACACCAGCTCCAGCTAAAACACCTCCCCTGGAGCTATGCCCTAGGGTCTGTGCCGGACAGCCCTGCGCAGGGACCCACTGACAACGTGACCCTGAGCGCGTCTGGGCCTGCATTGATGGCCGGGGGCTGGGCAGTGCCAGGAACTCAGGGCACTCCCGCAGTGCAGCCCCACGGTGCTGCTGGAGCACCACGAACAGGCGGTTTGCTGGTACCTTCAATTTGGTTGACATCTGATAGCCCGCAGGTTTCTCTGTCTCTCCTCCCGGCCAGATGATCTTCCGGTCATTGGGCAGGACCTGCGAGAGTCATCGAGAGAGACTTTAGATGCCTGGGGCCGGGCCCACACCTCCGTCTCCGGCTCTCCCGCAGGGCCATACGTACGTGGCTGCCATTGAAAACCCCAACTTGCACCAGTTTCCGGTTCTGCAGGTTCATGATGCTGTAATTCGCGTATTTCCTGTCCCCGTCTTCATTGAACTCCAGTCTCCCAGTCACCCCCTCCATGTACTTGCAGGACATCAACACTCTACAAAGAAGACCCATGGTTAGGTGCCAGGACAAGTTTCTTCGTGTTCTCTGCTCCCAGAACCCAGGGCAGCAGGGTGGTAAGAAGCCGCCCTGCTTTCTGGGGAAGAGGGTCGGTAGCCTGGGGAGCAGACGTTCCGTTAGTCAGTGAGATAAACGCTGTGGGTCTGGTTTCCCTAGACGAGCTAGGCCCCGGCAGCTTGCAACCAGCCCAGGAACGGCCCTGAAGGTTTCAAAGCGGGTGGGACATGGAGTCCAGCCAGTGTCACTCTAAGCCCTGACCTTTGGGGCAGACCCAGATCCCAATGAGCCAGACCACGGGAGCTCGTCTGGGACGCTGGGCGCCGAAAGAATAGCAAGCGAGTGAGGCTACGTACGCCTGCCTTTTCCCAAGCAAGCATGAGATCCTGCAACTCAGCCCTGCAGTTCAGATTCCCAGCCTGCAGCTCTCCCTACCCCTGGTCAGACCAGATCCATCCAGCCTGCAGCTCTCTCAGGCACCCCCAACTCCAAAGCGCACCCCTACTCCCGGTCAGACCAAATCCAGGCTATAGCTCTCCCAGGCCCCCCCAACTCCAAAGCGCACCCCTACTCCCGGTCAGACCAAATCCAGGCTATAGCTCTCCCAGGCCCCCCCAACTCCAAAGCGCACCCCTACTCCCGGTCAGACCAAATCCAGGCTATAGCTCTCCCAGGCCCCCCCAACTCCAAAGCGCACCCCTACTCCCGGTCAGACCAAATCCAGGCTATAGCTCTCCCAGGCCCCCCCAACTCCAAAGCGCACCCCTACTCCCGGTCAGACCAAATCCAGGCTATAGCTCTCCCAGGCCCCCCCAACTCCAAAGCGCACCCCTACTCCCGGTCAGACCAAATCCAGGCTATAGCTCTCCCAGGCCCCCCCAACTCCAAAGCGCACCCCTACTCCCGGTCAGACCAAATCCAGGCTATAGCTCTCCCAGGCATCCCAACTCCAAAGAGCACCCCTACTCCCAGTCAGATCAAACCCAGCCTGCAGCTCTCCTCAGCAGCTCTCCCTAACCCCGGTCAGACCAGATCCCTCCAGCCTGCAGCTCTCTCAGGCACCCCCAACTCCAAAGCGCACCCCTACTCCCGGTCAGACCAAATCCAGCCTATAGCTCTCTCAGGCACCCCAACTCCAAAGAGCACCCCTACTCCCGGTCAGATCAAACCCAGCCTATAGCTCTCCCAGGCACCCCAACTCCAAAGAGCCCCCCTACTCCCGGTCAGACCAAATCCAGCCTATAGCTCTCTCAGGCACCCCAACTCCAAAGAGCACCCCTACTCCCGGTCAGATCAAACCCAGCCTATAGCTCTCCCAGGCACCCCAACTCCAAAGAGCCCCCCTACTCCCGGTCAGACCAAATCCAGCCTATAGCTCTCTCAGGCACCCCAACTCCAAAGAGCACCCCTACTCCCGGTCAGATCAAACCCAGCCTATAGCTCTCCCAGGCACCCCAACTCCAAAGAGCCCCCCTACTCCCGGTCAGACCAAATCCAGCCTATAGCTCTCTCAGGCACCCCAACTCCAAAGAGCACCCCCACACCCGATCAGAGCAATTAGCCTGCTAGGTGTAAAGCTGCCGATCCCATGACCAGATCTACTTTGCCTGCGTAGTGTCCAATTTTCTAAAACTCACACCTTTTGAAAACAAAAGCCATTCCCCCAGCCCTCTTTGCGACCCCCAACTGGATTTATTCCTGTGTGACGTTTCAAGCTGACGTGCTGTTGTGCTGTAGACCAACACAAATATAACTACGTTGCTGGCATTTTCTTCTATTGTGAACAAGATTCCAGTTTGTATTTTTTCATTCCCTATGAGTCCCATATTAATAGACTCTGTGCTCAGGGATTCATAGATACCCAAGGGAAAGTCAATTCCCTGGAAAATTAGCATCTGAAAAGAGATGATCAGACTGAAAGTGGTTATACCCATGCCCTCTCTCCCCAGTTTCCTGCAGTGATGGTTGTTGCTCTTAATTATTCTTTCCAGATTTACTTTCCATTCTGAGTGGCATAATCATGTAGTTGTATTTAAAATATTGAGGCCAGGTCTACACTAAAAGGGAACATTGAATCAAGACACACAACTCCAGCTACGTTAATTACATAGCTGGAGTCAACGTACCTTGTTTCGAGTTTCCCTGCCATCTCTACAGCGGGAGGCTGATGGGAAGGTTTGTGCTGAGGAGGGAAGGTGCCCTCTGAGTTTGATTTACTGTGTCTTAACTAGACTCTCTAAATCAAACTCCGGAAGATCAATCCCGACAGCATCGATCTTCCATTTAGTGAAGACATGGTCTGAATAGCAATTCAGATCTCCTTGCCTCCCTCTCTCATCAGTGGATTAATTCACCAGCAGAATTAGCATCAGAACTCAGGGAGGCTGACACCAAATCCTGTGCTCCAACCACTAGTTCATACTGCCTCTTCAAACATTTGGGGAACTCATAAATCCAGATGCTACCAAAGTCACGTTTGGTGGTAAATACTGGTGCAGAGGGGGAGGGACAATGCAGGAGCCCACATACCTCTTGAAAAGAGGGCCCGTCTTCCAGATGTTGGTGTTCCCAACGCAGCCTCTCGGGGGGTCCGTGATATTCTCCTTCTCGAATAAGTCGTGCACTGCCTGAGCGACCACTGCGACCGCGTCGCTGATGTGAGCTGACTCGTTCTTCCCGTTAATGAGCTGCAAACCGATCACCCCTGCAGCGAACAGAGACAGGGCCCAAGTCAGAGACCTCCAGGCGGACGTGCCCCCCCCACAGGTCTGTCTCACCAGCTCTGGAGTCCTTTTGTTAGCAGGGTTCCACCACGTGGCCAACAAACTCTGGGCCATGGGAGACTCACTCCCTACAGCCTTGGTGCTGAGGGAGCCGGGATGAGACTCAGGCTGGGGCCAGGGAGGGCTCTTTGCTATTCTGCTAGGTGTTCTGGGGAGCACGCTGGGAACTCAGGCAGCCACAGGTGGCCCAAGGGGGGGGCAGTGTATGAGGAAGCCCCAGCACTAGACGTCAGATGGGTGTTTAAGAGGCCAGGGTGGCCGCAGTGGGGCCGGGGTGCTTGCTCTGGGCAAGAGGGGAGTGAATCCAGGAGAGCTGTCCGCTACAGCGGTTCGTGTTCCCCTGGAAGCAGCCAGAGAAGGGAGCTTGGTGAGCGATGACTGTTGGAACTCAGTGCTGCAGTGCAAAGCAACACTAACCCCCACGAATGCTCCTCAGGGCCTGTTTCGCTGAGTCCCCTCCGGCAAATACTGGGCTGCTGCTATTGCAACGTGCTCTCAGGGTGCAATCAGAAGTGATAGGCACTTGCTTTGGCCAATCCCAGTTTGGGAAAGGGCGGGGCCTATGAAAAAGGCTGGCTTTCCCCCACAAGGTCTCGGAAACCCTCCGCTCCCTTGATTCCTCCTGGGATCCTGAACCGTACCCACAGGGAGGGGAGGGAAAGGGATCAAGTGCAGCAGTGGAATGGAGAAGTTCTGGTTCTGAGACAGCTTCTCTGCCTGGTCCTGGATCTCCTTGCGCACGCCTGGGCAGGTGATGTCTGGGCACGAGGGAGAAGGGCGACCAGACCAAACTGAGAACAAGCCAGGAGAAACAGACGTTTCTCGTGCAAGACCAGCCGAAAACACAGATCTTTCACTCTCCGTGCTCCGAGTGTGCCTCTCGGACCAGGCAGGCTGCTTGTTAGTTTCGGTGAACCAGGAGGTCAGTGGTGCATGGACTATAGCCCTGGTCTCATCGGCACACTCTTTGTACCCCTTGGGCTGCACAGAAGGACTAAGAGCTGCTCTAACAGCAGCTGCGATTCCCCTCCTGCCATCGGGTGGGGGGGAAGCTGGCAGAAGCAGCCGAGATCAGGCCCTACAATTACTTGCATATTTGCAACATCATACATGACCTTTGAGAAGGAACATACTTTTGTCCTGAGTCCTGCCTGGGACTCCCTTTCAGTCCCACCCCTCTTGTCTTTTTCACAGAGAAACAGGCTTTTGGATGTTTTAGGGACATTTTGCAGGCATTCCCAGCAATAGCATGTTTTGCAACATGGTTCCCCTTTGGCTTAGTCTCTGCTCCAGAAGCATTTCAGAGAATGGTCTCTCTCTCTCTCTCTCGCTCTCTCTCTCTCTCTCAGCTCTTTCATAACATGTTGCTATTTGGAGGACATTCTCATCTTTGCTAAAACCTTTCCTGAGCATAATGCTCTTCTGGACCAGCCACTAACCCAACCCCAACTAGTTCACAAAAAATTGAAGACGGCCAAATGCAATTTTGCAAAAAATGCGGTAGAAGTTCCTGGGCATTCTCTGCCAGCCCACGGTATGAATGCAACACCTGAACGGCCACCAGGTGTCACTTTGTCACTATTACCTGCTGATCGGAGCAGCTGAGCTTATTCCTTGGACTAGCTTGTTACATAGGTGGCTGCGCTTTTGTGTGACAGGATTTAACCCAGGGCCAGGGACAGCTGGTTCGGACTAAAGAATCATAGAACACTAGGACTGGAAGGGACCTTGAGAGATCATCGAGTCCAGTCCCCTGCCCTCATGGCAGGACCAAATACTGTCTAGACCATCCCCGATAGACATTTATCTAACCTACTCTGAAATATCTCCAGAGATGGGGATTCCATGACCTCCCTGGGCAATATATTCCAGTGTTTGACCACCCTGACAGGGTACGTCTACACTAGCTCGTTAGTTCGAGCTAGGTAGGGTAATGAGGGCAAGCGGAGTTGCAAATGAAGCCCGGGATTTAAATATCCTGGGCTTCATTTGCATGTTCCCGGGCACCGCCATTTTTAAATTTCCCTTAGTCCGAACCCCGTGTCCGCGGCTACTCCCGGCACGGAGTAGGTAGTTTGAATTTAAGATCCTAATTCGAACTACCGCTACTCCTCGTGGAATGACGCACCCACAGTTAGGAACTTTTTCCTAATGTCCAACCTAAACTTCCCTTGCTGCAGTTTAAGCCCATTGCTGCTTGTTCTATCCCCAGAGGCCAAGATGAACACGTTTTCTCCCTCCTCCTTATGACACCCTTTTAGATACCTGAAAACGGCTCTCATGTCCCCCCCTCAAACTTCAATCTTCTCTTTTCTAAACAAACCCAGTTCTTTCAGCCTTCCTTCATAGGTCATGTTCTCTAGACCTTTAATCGTTCTTGTTGCTCTTCTCTGGACCCTCTCCAGTTTCTCCACATCCTTCTTGAAATGTGGTGCCCAGAACTAGACACAATACTCCAACTGAGGTCTAACCAGCGCAGAGTAGAGCGGAAGAATGACTTCTCGTGTCTTGCTCACAACACACCTGTTAATGCTGCCCAGCATCATGTTTGCTTTTTTTGCAGCAGCATCACACTGCTGACTCATATTCAGCTTGTGGTCCACTATAACCCCTAGATCCCTTTCTGCCGTACTCCTTCCTAGACAGTCGCTTTCCATTCTGTGTGTGTGAAACGGATTGTTCCTTCCTAAGTGGAGCATTTTGCATTTGTCTTTATTAAACTTCATCCTGGATTGGAAACCCTGCATCAAGCTCTGTGTCAGATCCAATCCTGTGCTTATTTTGATCCACGGAAGTGAAAGTGATACATTTAGCCAGTGTTTGGACATAGCTCGGCTCTGGGAAGGAGGACCGGTTCTGCTTGCAATCCCTGCTCTCACCCAGCAGAAACAAAGTATTCCGAGGCGGAGCTAGAGTTCCTGGTGATCGGTTTTGCTATGACTTGCTTCAAAGGTCACTTAGAAGACATTTCACCTTTGAAACTGATCATTTGCCTATTCCAAGCCTCTGTTATAAGGCCATTGATCTGCTGCCCATGAGGCTGCGTTGGTGGGTTCTTCAGGTTTGACTTGGGTCTGGTGCATATCAAAGGAAGATGTAACATACTTGCCAATCCTCTCTGGAGAAATTCTGCTGGTTTGGCACTCTGGCCTGCAGAAACGGCAGCGTGCGCCATAGGCTTTTGACTGAAGGATGTGCCGGATAAAGGTGCCGAGCTGTGCAAGGAGGTTGGGCAGAGCCAGTCCTTGCCAAAGACTTGTTGACAGTCCACAACGCTCATTCTGAGCTCCTGCTGGAAAGGTGCTATTGGATATCTAATACCGGGATGCCTGGGCGAGCATCCCAGCAGTGTTGCGACGAGCATCCCGCATGCGGTGCATGAAGGAGATTTGGGAGTCACTAAAGAGGAAGGAACGTCTGCGGAGTTATGCCTGGCGGTCAGGGCTGCACAAGGACACGGAGGAACACGCAGAGAACTGTTTCTTCTGGCACCTTTAAAACCAGTGGCTGCAGACAGACCACGGCAGAATATTTCAGTGGATATTAGCGGCCCTTCAGTTGCACTGCATGGCTGTGCCTGGTTTACCGTTATCGACTACGACTTTGCTCCACTGCAGGCACAATTTCACAAGGCGTCTCAGAGAAGCTCGTTTCTTACCTACCTACTGTATTCACTCCATTTGGCCTCCCAGATGGCCTTTTCCCAGGCAGTGGGACGCCTCTTGTATTGGAGGTCTCTCCAATGAGGACTGGTACAAGTACTTTATACCTCTGCTCTGTACCATGCCCAAGGGAACAAGAGAGTGAAGGCTGCATGGGAATCGGGGAAAGCACGTATTTCACATGCTGGGGGAAGAGCATTACATTGCACGATGGGCTTTACTTATCTTGGGGGTACCTCTCGTGACAGCACTGGAGAAACCCTTTTCTGTTGGCTCTTCAGCCAAACTAGGAGGACCAAGTTGTCTATGCTGCTGACGACGGTTCACCCCATAGAATCATAGAGCTGGGAGAGACCTCAGGAGTCATTGAGTCCAGCGCCCTGCCCAAGGCAGGACCAACCCAACTCAATCAGCCCAGCCAGGGCTTGGTCAAGCCGAGACTTAAATACCTTGTAGGGATGGAGATTCCACCTCCTCCCATGCCACCGCCATCCTCAGAGCCAACTGATGTGTGGCAGAAACGTGCCCGTTTCAGCAAGCGTGGCCATGCCAGGCTCTGTGTGGTCTGTTCTGGAGGGGGAGGGCATGTCAGGGGAGGGCCTGGATGTGCTTTCCGTCCTTGTGGCAAGATCTTGTGAGCTTCAGGGTCCAAAGTGTGGGGAGCGTGGTACCCCTGGGAGAACGCATAGCTAGCCAGCGAGACAGGCTGCCTGCTGAGGGGTGACCCACAAGGAAGAGGATGCCCTTGCTGCGTAGGATCTCATGTGACCAGCTGGGGCCGGTGCACCACAACGGTGCTTTAAGGTGAGCAACAGGTGAAGTCAGCGAGTGTGCACGCGTGCGCCTGCCTAGCACGGGGCGTGCACGGCTACTCAGTGCCGGCGGCTGCCCCTCTGTTGGGGGGATCATGACGGAGCTTTGTTCCCACGGTCGCTGCCCTCCCTGGCTCGTGGTTCGTACCTATGTGGATTGACAACGTACCTGTGTGTTCTGCTGCTGCTTCTTTGGGCCTGCGCGGTTTGGGGGTTGCATCGGGGGGAACATCCTGGACAACAAGCTGTGTCCTCTCTCAGCCTGGCCTGGGGCAGCCCAGACACCCTCCGAGCAAAGCGCAGCCGGTGTGGGGCGGCTGGAACTGCCTTCCTAGCGGCCATATGACCATCGCGCCTAGGAGTCCCAGCTAGGGGCCAGCAGCCCGCTGCACGGCCCCCGTGGCAAAACACTCGCAGAGAGCCGTGGGAGTAAATACCGTCAGGAGCATATCGCAGGGCATTGCCAGAGATCTCTCTCTCCCCCACCAGCCACACGTATCCCGAGCCCGTCATATTCAGCATGGCCGCCGACCTGTACACGGTGGCTGCATCGTCCTCGCTGGAGAGAGACACAAGAGAATGCAGGGGATGAGCCTCTGTCTTGGTCTCCGGGGGTCCTAGCAGCCTCCCTTCCCCTGCTCTGATTCAGAGCCAGCAGGCCGGGGCAGAGAGAATTCCCTGCCCCCTTTCCTCTCACGCGGGGCTGGGGCTCCCGAGCGCCATTTCCAGAGGAGAAAGGCAGAAGGTTGGCGGCACCTGGGGAGTCTCTCCAGGGCCGGATTAAGAGGGGGGCTAGCTGGGCAGCTGCCCAGGGCGCCAACCTATGGGGGGTGCCCGATGGCAGCTGTAAGGGGCACCGTGTGCCTGGGGGCGGAGCCGCACATGCGTCACGCGCCCGCTGCCCGGGGTGCAGGAATGGCTGGAGCCGGCCCTGAGTCTCCCCCCAAACACCGGTGTGTCACAGCCAGCCCCGGGGGCATGAGCGCACGCCCAGTGGGGGCAGGCAGAGGGGGAGAGGGCTTGAAGATCTGTCGGGATATCCCTGACCCTCCCCCGGGTCTGGAAATGCCCCGGGCACGTGCGGGGTGACTAGCCCAAGAAGATGGACTCTCCCGGCAGAAACAACCTGGTTTCTACAACTGATAAAGAAACCGAGAAAGCCAGCAGGTGCCCCCAGCCCCTCCCTCTCCAGAGACAACGGCCTTCGGGTTTCCCAGCGGGCGTGGCAGGGCGCCACGTGGCGCCTGTTTGGCGGAAGCAGGAACGAGCCAGGCTACCCAAGTGTGCCCGGGGCCTCCCTGGGTCTGACTCTGGCTCGGCATGGGGGTGCTGAGTGGCTTTTCGCTCCCCTTTCACTCTGCCTGGCTCCATCACAGCAGGAAGGAGCCCAGCCGGGACTAGGGTCTGTCTGGGGAGAGGGGGAATTTCCTGGCCTTTGACACAGGACCCAGCTCCATCGCCCATCCCCCCCGGACAGGGCAGGGGTTTCCCTCCGAGGCCCACCCTGCCTGCACCCCATTGCACCGCCTGCAAAGCCAGGCGCAGAGGGAGGGGGTCATCCTAGCCGCAAGCAATGGTGATTGGCTGACAAGCTGGGCTCATCCCCAGGCATCACTCGTTCTGGACTCAGTTTCCCCAAAGCCATGGAGGCCAGACATGTTGCCTGGACCTCTCTGTCCATTTCCCCGTCTCCGAGGGGGGAGGAGAGGGGGAGTCAGGCTGGGCGGCTTCCTGAGCTTGAGAAGTGTCCGTAGGGGGAGCCCTTGGCTCCACCCAAGTCCTGGGGATTGATGCCCATGGCAGGTTCAAGCACAGGTTACCACAGAGGAGCCTCGTCCCTTCTTTGCTTAGAACCACAGACCCCTAGCACCGGAAGGGACCCGAGAGGTCAGCAAATCCAGTCCCCTGCCCGCACGGCAGGACCCAGCTCCATCTAGACCATCCCTGGCAGGCGTGTGTCCAGCCTGCTCTTCAATCTCTCCAGAGATGGGGATTCCACAACCCCCCCAGGCAATTTATTCCAGGGTTTCACCCCCCTGACAGGCAGGAAGTTTTTCCTAATGTCCAACCTAAACCTCCCTTGCTGCAGTTTCAGGCCATTGCTGCTTGTTCTGTCCTCAGAGGCCAAGGGGAACAAGTTTTCTCCCTCCTCCTTGTGACACCCTTTTAGATACTTGAAAAGCGCCATCACGTCCCCTCAGCCTTCTCTTTTCCAAACTAAACAAGCCCAGTTCTCTCAGCCTCCCCTCACAGGCCCTGTCTTCTAGACCAGTGGTTCCCAAACTTTTTGGCTTCACGCCCCCCCTTTTGATTGTTGAGAAACCCTCACGCCCCCCCCCCCAAAAAATAGCAGCAAAACTTGGGGTGAGATTTCTAGAACTTCCACCATTTCTGCTGCTCTTCTCCGGACCCTCTCCAATGTCTCCACCTTTCCTGAAATGCCGTGTCCGCAACTGGACACACGACCCCAGTTTTCTCCTCTGCTCCCATCCTGTGTCCCTGCGGACAGCGCCCCGCCCTCCACCGCTCGCAGGCCCATCAGCCGCACCTCACCAAGGGGGTGCCATGGACAAGCCCGGCCCTGAGCAGCCAGGAGCGAAGGTCGCACTACGTGCCAGGCCGGCAAGGCTGGCGGGGCCTGGAGAGAGCTGTGCCGAAGGGAAGCTTCAGGGGCAGAGGGGAGAAAGTCACAGGGCTACGCTGCACATGGGATGAGAGTCCAGACAGCCGGGAGGCTGGCCCGGGGGCCAATGCGCCTCCTGCTGGCTTCAGGGGGAGAGTTCCTGGCTTTTCTTTTCTCCCCCGTTCTAACAGAGAAGGAATCCAGCAATGGGCAGTGGCCATGCGAGTACCCATTGCTCCAGGACCTGGCTGCTGTAGAGAAGGGAGAAGGAAAAGGAGAGAACAGCTGAAGGGAGACCCGGTGGCTCATCAGCGTTCCTCCCATAATCCATCTGGTCCTAACCCCAGACTCAGAGGCCTGTGGTCTCCCAGGTCTGTGGCCCTAGCTTGGCCTGCTGCCTGAGCTCTCCACCTGGCGAGTCTCCGAGTAAGGGGCAGCTGAGACGGCTCACGCCAGAGCTCAAAGCGGGGCGGCGGGTAACGTAGGCAAGGGAAGTGCCTTCCCAAAACGGCCTACGCTCCCCGGGCTGCCAGGGGAGGGCTGGGGGCGCGGCAGCCCAGCTTCCCGGGCCTGCAGGTGGCCAGGAAGGACTGGGCTGGTTTTGGATGGGGTTTGGCTGCTGGGGGCGGGGAAGGGTGTTGAAGGGGCGGGGCCCTCGGGCGAAGGGGGGGGGGGG